AGGTAAGCATAGGCGGATGTGAAAAACATGTGAAACCGTTCACTACAAATTAGCAAGTAAGCACGAGGATAGGATGAAACAGGGATGGAGAGGGAGTCAGGCCATGGGAGGAGGCAGGTCTGAGAGATGAGAAGTGGGGGGAAGGGGCACAGGACGGGCCTCCTTGTTCTGTTCCTATAGATGCTCATGGTTTCCCACGCTGCTACTCAACCTGTGGGGGACAAAGGTCAGGGAATGTGAGGCTCACCTAGCCCCGGTGGAATGTCCCGCTGCTGGCGAATGCAACCGAGCCGTGCATTCACCACAGTGTGGAGACATTTAGAAGATGGGAATGGCTTCAGTGGCTGAGGGTGGGGAAGGCAAAGAGGACTAGACAGACTCACCTGAGGGTGCCCCAGGTGAGTCTAGTCAGACTCACCTGGGGCCAAGGTCCAGAAGGTCAATCTACATGAAGACTGAGAAGGGGCCAATCCCCTGTGGACATATAAGGGTGGAATAATACTAGGGGGTAGAGAAGTTTCTGGAACTCCTTGATAGGGGAGCCCCATGCACTGTGATCTCCACACCTCATGGCTACAACTAAATTAAGAAGGCCCAGAAATGCGGGGTCACTGGGATCAAGGTAAAAGTTTAGAGGAAAACGGAAACGTTTAAACATGGTTCGTGAGGTCTAAGAGCTCAAGACCACCGTCTGAGGAGGGCACCAAGGCCAGCTGGCATAACGCAGTCCACAAAGACAAAGCTCTCCAACCTACATTGGTGGGTAGTGATTAAGGTCAGACAAGCTTGTGAGTGGTCATCTAAGGTGCAAATTATTGGGCTCTCCCCATCCAGAGCAAAGAAGAGTGAAGAAAATCAAAGACTTATGGAAACAATTCATTCAAAGGATGAATGAACTACATGATCCCTAGTCTCCACGGCCCTGAGACCAGAGGATTTTGATGGTGCTGTACAGGATCGCTGAGTCAGAACTGACTCCACACCACTATAACCACCACCAGCTTGGTAAAGTGGAGAATCAGCAAATAAAAAAAGGAGACCCCTAACGATGGATGGGCACAGTGGCAGCAGCAATGGGCTCAAGTGTAGCAATGATTGTGAGGTTGGTGCAGAACCGGACAGTGCTGTGCTAAGAGTAGTACCCACTCGAAAGTACCTAACAAAAACAACAGATACCACAAAATGACCACTCTGAAAGGGGTCACAATAGGAGGTCCTGGATACGATGGGAGAAAATGTACAACAGAATTCAAAATTTGCCCAAATGTATTATGGTTACGGATTATAGGAGCCCTGTATATAAAGTGCTCAACTACTAAGCAAAAGATTGGCAGTTCGAACCCACCAGTCACTCTGCAGGAGAATGATTTGGAGGTCTGCTTTCATAAAGATTGTTGTTAAGTGCCATCAAGTTGGTTCTGACTCATAGTGACCCTGTATAGGGTTTCCATGGAGCGGCTGGTTAAGTTTCAACAGCCGACTTTGTGGTTCAAACCAACCTTGCAGTCCAGTGCTTTATCCCACAGTGCCACACTTGGGAAACCCCAGAGGGCACGTCTACTCTGTTCTATAGCATAGTTATGAGTTGGAATTAACTAGAGGCAGAGAGTTGGGTTGGGTTTTATTACGTATTGTAGGAGGGGCTGGCCAGGCCAGACTAAAAGCTAATGACTGATTGGGAATCTAGTAATAATGCCGGTACCTTTTGACTTATTTTTGGGTTAGGGTATAGCACTGGCATTGTTAAAACTATAATACTGATACTGATGGTCACATGGATTGGAAAACGGAGTTAAAGCTTCCTCTTAATGTAACAAACGATGAATACCTGGGTCTAGAAAAACCATACAAAGAGCAGTGAATTAGGAGGAAAAGGTAATCCTCCAAATGTCAGGCATATAAAAGGAACGATGGTCAAAGGTCAGGGGGCAGTTTGTGGGGTCTGCAGTGAAGTTTATCCAAAGAATTTGGCCTTTGTCTTTGGTTCCTGAGAGACAGCCTTGGAATTTACCCAGCAATCCTAAGTGTCTTTGATGAGAGCTTTGGACTACACCTATTCTCATAGGTTACACTAATGAGGTGACCAGAGTGGGGGCTGGCGAGGCCTGAAGGACCAATGAGTGAGATCAACCTCGTTTTATTGACTGACATCAGAGGAGCGGGCGGGTGTGAGTGAAGCTTGGCACAATGAGACCCCAGTAAAAGCTCTGGACACAGAAGCACCTAAGCTTCCTGGTTGGTGAGACACATTGATAAAGGTGGGAGGGGGTTCCTGGGAGCTCTATATTGAGAACCCTTCAGACCTTACCCTGTGCCTGAGATCATTTGTATACTTTCCTTGTAATACAATGTAAATTTCTCTGCATTCTGTGAGTCATGGTAGTGAATTACTGAATCTGAGAGGGTAGTGGAAGCTAGCAGGTTGGAATTGGTATACTTGGAGACTCTTAGGGATGACATCCTGAGGGGGTAGAAGGTACTCTGACATTTGTAGTCAGCAGGTCAGAAATGAGGGTGTCCTGGAACTTTTGGCTCGTGTCCTTTAAACTAGTGAGATCTAGCCTGACTCCAGGTAGTTGGGGTTTGAGTACACTTGGTGTCAGAGCAGAGGGAAACAAAAAGGATAATGAGTGGATTTTCCCAGACATGGCATAAGGGGTTTTTGCTGATGTGATTATGTTAAGGATCTTGAGATGGGAAAACAAACCTGGATATCCGGGTGGGCTCAATGCAATCACAGGGTCCTTCCAAGACAGGGGTGGTGGCAGTGGTGGTAGTTATGTCCATGGAGTTGGTTTGGACTCACAGCGACTCTATATAGGGTTTCTGAGGTTGTAAATCTGTATGGGGGCAGAAATCCTCATCTTTCTCCATCAGAGTAGCTGGTGGATTTGAAATGCTGACTCTGCAGTTAGCAACTCATTGAGTAAACTGATATACCACCAGGGCTCCTTGATTTCTAATGATCAGAAATGGTAATGAATGAGAGACTCTCTTCTGGAGCCCGCCAGAAAGAATGCAGCCCTGCCCACTCCCGGAATTTAGGGTTCTGGTCCCTTAAAACTGTAAGAGAATCACTTTGCATAATTTTAAGGTTTTACGTTTTTGGCCACTCCACGGTACTTAACAACAACAACAACGTTTGTGGCGGAGTCTCTGGGTGCTGAAAGTGCGCTCAGCTGCTGACTGAAAGGCTAGTGGTTTTCCGTCCACCCAGAGGCACCTCAGAACAAAAGCCTGGTGGTTATTTACAAACAAAACAAAAACCACCGCCACCGCCATGGCAAGGGCCCTGTCCTGTCCTGTCCTGCCAGGGTCTTGGGTTGAGTCTACAACTTAGAATCACCCCGTGCCCCCTGGAAAGATCGGTGCTGAGCAGGTGGGGTGCTCCTATTGCCGTCCCTCCCATGGTGGAAGGGGTTGTCTAGATTTCAGGGTGCCTCAGATCAGAGTTCACTACTATTCATTGCCACAAGTCCATTCTGTCTCACAGCGACCCTAGACGGCAGGGTATACATGCTGTTAAGTCTTTATAAAAGCAGATAACTCCATCTTTCTTCCCTGGAGCAGCTGGCTGGTGGATTTGAACCGCTGACATTCCAGTTTGCAGCCCAGCGTTTAACCACTGCTCCACCAGGTCTCTTTGATCACAGTTCTTCTGGCTAGACGGCTCTTAATCTTTGCTGTCCACCTTGACCAACCTGAGCCCTAACACCACTCTGCCAACCCTCACAATGAAAGGACGTTAGCCACCTTCCGTCCTTACCTCAGCCCAGCAGGGGAGAACGGCCGCCAGCTCCCACCAGATTGGCCCAGTTCAGGTCACGTGCCTATTTCTGAGCCCCTGCAACCAGGAACTCTGTGCGCTGATTGGCCGGGCCTGAGTCATATGCTCCAATCCTGACGCTCCATCCAGGCAACCCGGGAAGAGACCGGAAACGGTGAAATCTCGAACAATCTGGCCTGTTACTGTAGAAATGGGGCTTGGATACTGAGGACACAGGAAATGCATATCCACAATGAGATCAACCTCAAATTGTGAGACGCTTGTAGTAAAGCGTTGAGAGTTTGTGGGCTCACTGAGTCGGGAGCGTGGAAGCCAGGCCCATGGTGGTCCCGGAGGCTGCTCTTCCTGGGACCACATGGTCAGAGCCCAGCGTTAACCCTCCAGAGTCCGGGCTACACCCAGTGCCCCACCCCAGCAGCTCAGCCACAGCCTCGCTCAGCTCCGTGGACTTTTACCAATGACACAGGCCAGGCATCCATTTAAAAATCATTTTATTATTAACATCATCTTTCCATTTAGCCAAGTGTCTGTCATGTATAAGGAATGTCGGTAAATATTCCATTTGAAGCTTTCTTTGTACATATTTCCATTGATAAATAAACTCTGAATTCACATAAAAAAGTTAAACTTAAATAACTCATATTTTCCTTCTCTTGTAACAGGCATATATTGGTAAAATAGAAATATTCTTGGGCTCGGGCTTTGCTCTAAGTGAGGACAGGGATTCATCACACAGTAGGATTATTGACAACAAAATGAGAAATTGTCAGCTGGTGTCCTGGCTCGGACTAGTGACTGAGGTGGAAAACGGAAGATTCACATTTGGTTTCTGGGCCAGGGGATGGGGGCAGCAGTGTGGGGAGGAAGAGAAATTTCCTTTACAACTCTGATAAAAATAATCTGTTCTGCCACTGCATTTTAACTTTGAATATATTCTTCTACGTTTGCTGATTAATTCCATAATCATTTTACAGAGAACTCGGGTGTTGACTAACAAAATATGGCACATAATCCATTTTGAACAATGTCAGTAGGTTCAAAACTATCATTGGGCTGCAAGGATCTGCACAGAAATGCACGTGGAGAGCGCGGTGATTGGGGGGAGGGTGTTTGGTTAGTTCCTTGTGGACAATCGGACATTCATCTATGGCCTCAGTGCCCTGGCAGTCACCCCCTGGGGGCAATCAGACATCCCGGGTGCCCCAGGCAGGGCTCAGAGCACCCTGGGGATGATGGTGAAGGGCACAGCTGGGCTGCTGGCCTCCAGCTCCAGGGCAGTCAGGAAGCATTCGGTGGCTGCCGTATCGTTACCCTGGGTTTGGAGGACCTCGCCCAGCCCGTTCCACACCTCGTGGGCTGTCGAGTTCACCTGAACGGCATCCCGAAGGATCTTCTCTGCTAGGCTGTAGCGACCCAGCTGGTGAAGGATCAGAGCCTGCAGGCAAGGGAGAGACAGACAGACAGACACACCATCAGAGATCTGGGCTCCTCTTTGTCCTTGAGTTTCCAGCAAATTTCTTGGAGGCAGAAATGTCTCTCCCATTGTGCTGGGTATTATTAAGTTCTCAAGTACTTCTTGCACTTGGGGTAACTCAAAACAGCTGCTTGCACCATATGAACTTGTTGGCATTCAACCATTTTGGAAGCATAGAAATGGTAGTTTCACAAAGTTCCTCCTACTACTCAACAACCAGGAGTCAACCCACGTGGCTGTCTTGGCTGGTACCAGCTGACGCCTGTGTGCCTGGAATGGTACCCTTTGTCCTTCCTCTCCTTAAAAAAAGTCCAGAGAAATGTCACTTAGGGCACTGATATGATTACCACAGATTAAAAAAACACAACAATTGCCCACTGTCTCCCTTCCCGAGCCAAGTCCCTGATCTCCCTGCCCCCCTTGGCCCTAGGCACAGCTGTCATTCTACAGAGTTCAATAGAAGTCTACAATAGTTCAAATAGCTAGTCACAACCATGTTTCTAAATTACGCATCTCTGAGACTAGTGTTCTTGTACCCTCTCATCCAATGGCTAAGCTCTCGTTGAGTAGCTTGGGACACTGAGGTTGGATCCAGCTTCTTTGCTATTATATATCACCCTGCGATATGCATCTTCTGGATATTACATCTTGGCTTCTTTGTTTAGTAGGTTTCAAATACTTTTATAGTCCTGTAAACTGGTTAAATAGAACGTTACTCAGAATCCCCCACAAGTAGTATGACTAAGACCAGAAGGAGCGGCTCTGAGTGTAGGCTGGAGGAGGGTCCCACATCCTGAGGGGGCTCAGTGTGACCAGTGTGACAGCTAGCTAGAGAGTCTTCCTTGTGGGCCAATTTTCCTCCAAGTGGTGTCAGAAGATAGGACTCCTTTTACTGTTCTCCAAATATTTTGTTAATTATATCCCCAAATGGGTCAGTCCCTTTTTACAGCCACCAACAGAGTACAAATGGTCACCCTCCCTCCCCACTAAATAAAAAGTACTTTTAATTTTTGCTAATTTCATCAATGGGAAATGTCCAAAGTGCCCCACTTCCTTCTGGAAACCGGCATCTCTGATAACAACTGAGGGTTAAATGTTTCCCACGTGGAAAAAAGGCGGAACAGAATTCCAAATTCTCATGGAAGCCAGACATGCTGGAGCCACTGAGGCTGGATGAACCGGTGAAACTATTGTCACTAAGATAATCTTTAAACCTTACACCAAAAATATTCCCTGAATCCTTTTTAAAATAAAAAAAAATGAGCTTCTCTAAGCAAGGAGATTTGCCTTGAGCACTGTGCTCTTTTGAAGAGCTATCTACATGGGGTCACACCGACAATAACAACTTGAAAGGTCAGATGGGAAGCTTAGAGGGCTGGGAGTTCATGTTATGGGAGAAATGACTTGGAAAGGGCAGTGAGAAAGTACAACTTGAAGAATGTAATCAATAACACAGATTTGTGCATGCTGAAATGATTGAACTAGTGTATGTTTTGCTGTGGTACTTTCAACAGCAGTAAAAAATAAAACGTTTCCCCTGTACTTGTTCCATGTAAAAACAAAACAAAACAACAAAAAAATCCTCTCATAACTGGACCAATAAATAACATCATGATAAATGACGAAAAGATTGAAATTGTCCAGGACTTCATTTTGCTTGGATCCAGTAGCAACACTCTGAAGCAGCAGTTAAGAAATTGAACTACATATTGTGTTAGGCACATTTGCTGCACAAGACCTCTTTAAAGTGTTCAAGAGCAAAGATGTCAGTTTCAGGACTGAGGTGTCTGACCCAGGCCATGAAGAATATTGAAAGTACCAAGCACTGCCAGAAGAACAAACAAATCTGTGTTGGAAGAGGTACCACCAGAACACTCCTTATAGAAGCCAAGATGGTGAATCTCTTATACTCCAGTTATGCTTGGTTTAAAAGTAGAGGGTGAGCGTAACAGAGGTAGACCCCAAATGAGATGGACTGTAAGTGACAGCAGCAATGGCCTCAAACGCAACAATTGTGAGGATAGTGTAGGACCAGGCAGTGTTTTGTTCTGTTGTGCACACGGTCGCTATTAGTCGGAGCCAATTAGACAATACCTAACAACAACCTCCTCCTTTCAATACCTTTGATTCGTGATCATCAGCTACCTCCTGAAATTGTTGAATGGTTAACCAATTCTTTTTGTTACAGTGACTCTGTGTATTTCTTTTATCTTCTCTTGATAACTTCCTGCATTGTTCAGTATTCTGCCCATAGAATTCTTCAGTATTGCAACTTGAACCTTGAATTTTTCTACAGTTCTTTCAGCTTGAGAAATGCCAAGCCTGTTCTTTTCTTTTGGTTTTCTAATTCTAGGTCTTTGTATATTTCATAATAATATTTTACTTTGTCTTCCAGAGCTGCCTTTTGAAATACTCTGTTCAGCTCTTCCATTTAATCATTTCATTATTTTGAATTAGCTATTCTGTGTCCAAGAGCAAGTTTCAAAGTCTCTTCAAATATCCATTATGGTCTCTTCTTTCTTTGTGTCTTATTAATGACCTGTTACTTTCTTCATGTATGATGTCTTTGATGTCATCCCACAACTCATCTGACTGTTGGTCATGTGTCATATCTGTTGTTGAGATGGTCTCAAAATTCAGGTAGGATATACTTTAAGTGGTACTTTGGCTCTCGTGGACTGTTTTAATTTTCTTCAGCTTCAACTTGAACTTGTCTATGAGCAATAATTGATCTGTTCCATTGTCAGCCCCTGGCCTTGTTGTGACAGATGATACTGATTCTTTATTGTCTCTTTTCATGAATTTAGTCTATTTGATTCCTGTTTATTACATCCGATAAGGCTCACATACATAGTTTCTGTTTATGTTATTCAAAAAGCTATTTGCAGTGAATAAGTTGCTGGTTTTGCAAAATTCTGTCTTGCAATCTCTGGTATAATTTCTATCACCAGGACCATATTTCACATCTATTAATCCTTCTTCCCTGTTGCCAACTTTCACATTCCAACCACCAGTAATTACTAATGCTTATTGCATGTTTGATCAATTTCAGACTGAAGAAGTAGGTTATTATTGTTGTTGTTAAGTGCCAATAAGCTGGTTCCGACTCATAGAGACTCTGCATAGGGTTTCTGAGGAGTAGCTGGTAGGTTTGAATTGCTGACCTTGCATTTCAAACCAACCTTGCAGTCTAGTGCTTATCCTACAGTACCACATCAGGACTTCTGTTAAATGCTGTTGAGTCAGTTCCAACTCACAGTGACCCTGTATAGAGTTTCTGAGGAGTAGCTGGTGGGTTTGAACTGCTGACCTTGTGGTTCACAGTCCAGTGCTTATCCCAGGACTCCAAAGAATTTAATTGTTATTGTTAAGTGCCGTCGAGTCGGTTCCGACCCATAGCGACCCTGTACAGGGTTTCCGAGGGTGTAAATTCTTACGGGAGTAGAAAGCCTCATCTTTCTCCTGCGGAGCGGCTGGTAGTTTCAAACCGCTGACCTTAAGGTTCGCAGCCCGATTCGTAACCACTACGCTACCAGAGCTCCTTAAAGAATTTAGTAGAAGTCTTCAATTTCATTATCTTTGGCATTACTGGTTGGTGTACAAATTTGAATAATAGTTGTATTAGCTGGTCTTTCTTGTAGATGCATGAATATTATCCTATCATAGACAGTGTTGTACTTTAGGATAGATCTTAAAAATATTTTTGTGATGATGACTATGACATCATTCTTTTTCATTTTTGATCACTCTCAGCATAGCAGACCATATGACTGCCAGATTCAAAATGGCCAATACCAGTTCATCTCAGCCCAGTAATGCCAGGGTCTCAATCTTAAGTGTTCTATATTTCATTTTTGACAACTTGAATTTTCAGCGAGTCCTACTTCATAAACTCCATGTTCTGATTATTAGTGGATGTTTGCAGCTGTTAGTGGAACACATTGTGCTGTTTCAGTGGAAATTGTGCCATATCAGCAACTGAAGATTCTGAAAGCTCTGCTCCATCCACGTCATGAAGGCGGTCTCTGCCTTTGACGAGGTAGCTCTGTCCTAGTCACAATTTTGAAAGCCATCTAAGTTGAGGGACTCATCTTCCAGCACTGTATTAGACAATGCTCCACTGCTCTTTATAAGGTTTTCAGTGGCTAACCCTTCAGAAGTGGACTATCTCTTCCTTCTTCCAAGTCTGTTTTGGATTCCCAGTATGGTGCTGTAGGGATCAGCATTGGACTGCTAAACGCAAGACTGGTGGTTCAAAACCACCAGCTGCTCTTTAGAAACCCTACACAGGGTTGCTATGCGTCAGAACCGACTCCACAGTATTTAACAAGTCTGTTTTAGTCTGGAAACTTTGCTGAAACCTGTCTTCCGTGGATGGTTCTGCTAGTATTTGAAATATCACTGGCATCACTTCCGCCACCACAGAAACACACAACACACACAGTCCAACAAAATGGCAGACAAGTGGTTGTTATTGTTAGGTGCCATCAAGTCGGTGGCAACTCATAACAACCCTATGAACAACAGAACGAAACACTGCCCAGTCCTGGGCCAACCTCACAATTGTTGCCACACTTGAGCCCGTTGATGCTGTCACTTGGCCAATCCATCTTGTTCGGGGTCTTCCTCTTTTTCTCTGCCCCTCCACCTTACCAAACATGATATCCTTCTCCAGTGATTAGTCCGAGGTATGAGAGATGAAGTTTGGCCATCCTGGCCTCCAAGGAGCACTCTGGCTACACTTCTTCCAACACAGATCTGTTCATTCTTCTGGCAGCCCATGACACTTTCAATATTCTCCTCCAACACATAACTCAAATGCATCAATTCTTCTCCAGTGTTCCTTATTCACTGTCCAACTTTCACATACATTTGAGATTACTGAAAATACCATGGCTTGGATCAAGTGCACATTAGTCCTCAAGCTGACATCTTTGCTCTTCAACACTTTAAAAAAGGAC